TCAGACACGAGCATCACAACCCACAGGAAAAGCAGCACTGGAAACGGGAGCCGCGTTTCCACACCTGCATGTGTGCTCACCGTGGTGTGACACGGGTAAACCGAGGCACGTGGCGTGGCACCGATGGCACTTTGCTTTGGTGCGGGTGGGAGGTGGGTGAGACGGGACCTGGCCCGAGTGCCCGTGTGGTGCTAGAGCCTGGCGGGGTGACCACAGTGGGGCTCTGGTGGCTGCTCTTCAGCCTGGCTCGGGGTGCAGAGTGCCGGGACAGCCTATGTGCTGCATATCTGGGGTGCCTCAGAGGCCTGGCGAGCTCATCACACCAGTAATAACAGCGCTGGGTGTCTTTCAGGCTTCCCTGGGCCACCCATGCTATCCTGAGGGAAGCAGCGGAGTTCGAGAAGGCACCAGGCTTCAGGAGTTTCCTTCCTTGATTTCACCCCTTGCTCGTGGCTCAAACCCGGCGCCTCGGGTGCTGCTCTCACGTCCCGGCTCAGGGACACTCCATCCCCCCGTGGGAGACCAGCAGCTCTCGTTGGTGCAGACCCATCACCCACGTCCTGTGCACCCCGCTTGGGTCTCTCCCAGACCCACAAACCCTGGCAGAAGGGTGGGTTTCTGGCAGCGGGACCTGCCCCGTCCTGCTTGCAGGCGTTGCCTCGTGAGCCATGATTTTGGGGTGCCGGCACCTCGCGCGGTGCAGCGAATGCCGCAGCAACGAACCCTGCACCGGGGATTTCTGCCGGGGAGCAGGGACGGAGCAGGGAGGGAAGCAGAGCTGGCCGAATCCCAGCTGCTGGGGTGGGAAGCAGGAAACCGCCATTCAGGCCCTTGCAGGAAGGGAGGTGCCGGCAGCGCTCCGGCCTGGGGAGACAAGAGTTGCCTCCCGGGGTGCTCTGGACATGGCCACGCAGTCCTGAGCTGGCACCCACGGGCTGGACCCCGCTAATACCCTGCCTGGGGTAAAGCCTCCCCCACTCGCCCCGCTCCAGGGCAGCAGATGAGCCGAGAGCCCCACTGCCGGCGATTTCTGAC